TCTTTTTTTCAAACTATTTCACACCCTGAAAACAAACAAAAACAACCCTGAACTGGAGTACAGTAGGAGCACTGTGTCTGCGGGATCAGTATCTGTGGTTTTACTTATCCGCAGTCTGAAAATATTAAATGAAAAAACCCAGAACCGTATATTGCCAAGATGTAATACCAGAACTGGCCACTAGAGGGAACCAGAGGCTATGCCATATACACTATAGGGCAGGGGTTTTAAACTCAATTTACCTGGGGGCCGCTAGAGGCAGAGTTGGGTGAAGCTGGGTCGCATCAGATTTTCCGCCAAGCGGAGCAAGAGCCCGAGGAAGCCGCCCAGGAGTTTCCTCAGCTGACAGACAGGTGGGCTGGCTGGCAGGCTGCAGTTCTGGATGGAGGGTGCAAGAAGTGCTGTCTTGGGGGAGAGCCGGCGAGCAAGGCAAAGCTTCTTTTTTTACTCTTGACTGCAGAGGATATGTGGGCACTTTGGGGGGGCAGGCAAGGTGAGGGCCACAAACTATCATCTGGGGGGCCGCAAATGGCCCCCAGGCCGCATGTTTGAGACCCCTGCTATAGGGATAGCGATTGTCCTTGGGTTCCAGTTTCCATGGCAGGTAGGAATGTTAATCCCTATGGCTAAAACAGTCCTACTGTATAAAAATTTAAATAACCACTACAGTGGAAATCACTATTCCTGGATAATGTCTCTTTGCTGTGGCACTATTAAAGCATGTCACAAGTCAACAACCTAATGAATACAGAAATGTATTTATTATTAAGCACATTTTCATCCAGCCATTCTTCTGAGGAATTCAAGTGTTTTTCCAGTTTAAAGGTTTCACCGCGTTCAAATATCAACCTCATAAACTGAAATCTAACAAGATTTCCATTATAATTCTAATGCTTTTTCTGTTTGTGTATGCATGGATGAAAAGTGCCAGCATTAAACTTTTTAAAAAATGGGATAGTATACAGCAACTATTTTTATTTATACATTTTGAAATAAATACGTTATCAAGCTGTTGTAGCTGGCTAAAACAAGAGACTGAACCTTTCGTGGGAAAACTCCGTGTCACATGGAACTAATACCACCTGGACCCTTTCCTTTGTGATATGGTTATACAGCATTGTTAAAGCATGTAATGTCAAAGGCGGACTTTCAAAAATAAATCCTTGCTACCAATGCATTTCATCAAATGAAATGATTCATCTCAATTACCAGCAGATTTTCATAAGATAATTTCCTGCCCACACACCTGTTCCTAATACAACAGTAACGTTGGAAATGCTTATCATTCAGTACATTACATCCCCGATAAACAGACTAAAACATTATTTGAATTTTTATTGAGGTGCTAATGTTAATTTAGTCCATCTAATTAAAACGAGAACACCAGCTGTAATACAAAGGTTTCACAAGATCATCTTTTTTTCCCTGTGGGCTATTAGGAACTGTCTTTGTTATGATAACTTGAAGCTACAGACTATGTTAAAAAGTCCTCTTCGTTACACTGATTGCTACAGCAACTTACAGTACAGTGGACCCTTGACTTACAGACGGTTTGACTTACAGACTTTTTGAGTTACAGACCTCTCTGGCCGCAAAATTTAGGTTTGACTTGCAGACTGAGATTTGACTTACAGACCAGAAAAAAAAACCAAAATGGAACAAAAACGGCCTGTTACGGGATTAATCGGTTTTCAATGCACTGTAGGTCAATGGAGACTTGACTTACAGACTTTTTGACTTGAGAACCGCCTTCCAATATGGATTAAGTTCTCAAGTCAAGACCCCACTGTACTCTGAAGTCTCTCTTGAATAAGATAGCATATGCTATAATAAAGCCTGTTCTTTATTACAGTTGTATTAACCCCTCTAGTACCCTAAAACACTGGTTCTTAACCTTGGGTTACTCAGGAGTTTTGGACTGCAACTCCCAGAAGCCTTCACCACCAGCTGTGCTGACTGAGGTTTCTGGGAGTTGCAGTTCAAAAACATCTGAGTAACAAAGGTTAAGAACCACTGCCCTAAAAGAAGAACAAAGCCATTAACTGGCAATGGTGTGGCTAAAAAATATTTTAAATAAATTAATTAAAAAATATTGTAAATAAATAAATAATGCCTGAGTACTATAATAGTGAATGGTGTTTCCGTCTTTGAAGTAACAGGAAGTAAATCTCTAAGGCATAAACTCAGTTATATTTGTATCGTATGAATTATTAAATAAATAATTTGAGTCATAGTTCAAGATTCTAGAGAAGTATCTTTATGAAAGAAGCATTTTGATAGGCTTACATTTGAATTCCCCACCTTTTTCACTGCCTCTCTTCTGTTTGCAACTCGAAGCTCTGGCCGCAAGTCAAAGCAAAATTTTGCGGCCAGAGCTGGTCGCAACTCGAAATGGTCGTATGTCAGGATGGTCATAAGTCGAGGCACCACTGTATTCTGTTTTCCTATCATTGCTTTAGTTGGTTCACATCTACTTATAACAATATTTTACATCAAAAAAGCAGAAAGAAGAGAGTAGAACTATCATGTATGCTGGGACCAAAAATGGCTTTATTGCCACAAGAATAGCACATCAAGTCATAAGACTGCAAATCTGGTTTCATCTTTGCTCAAACTTGGTAGCTCAATATTTTCATCTTCCATTTCTGGTCAACCACCTATTTCACTACTAAGTTTCTGCAACCAAACGGATTATTATCAAGTCAATTTCAATTTATGTGAAACCTATGCATGAGTGACCTCCAAAACGTCCTATCTATCATTAACAACCCTACTTGGTTCTTGGCCATGGCTTCCTTTATTAAGTCAACCCATTTCAGATTTGGTTTTCCTCATTTCAGATTTGGTTTTCCTCATTTCTTGCGGACTTCAGCTTTTCCCAGCATTATTCTGTTTCTGGGTAAGCCTTGTCTTCTCATTATGTGCACAAAATATGACAGCATCAACTTTGTTATTTTTGCTGACCTCACATCTGATATGACCTCACATCTATTTTTTTTTTCATCTTTCTGGCAATGCATGTATCCATAAAGCATTCCTCCAGCAACATATTTCAAATGAATCTTTTTTTCCTGTTAGCTTTCTTCACTGTCCAGCTTTCACATCCATACACAGTAATTGGGAATGAAACAGTGAAGATAACCTTGGCCTTGGACTTCAGTGACATGTTCTTAGACTTGATGATCTTTCTGAGTTTCTTCTTAGCCACCATTCTGAGTTTCATTCTTTTTCTGATTTCCTTGCTACAGACTCCATTTGATGCTTGAACTAAAGTAAACAAAAATCTAACAATTTCAATTTCTTCATTGTCAGCATTAAACTTATGTAGTACAGTGGTGCCTCGCTTAACGAGCGATGAATTCGCATCGCGTTGGCCCCAATGGGCGAAATTCGCAGTGGTGCCTCGCTTAACGAGCAATGAATTCGCATCGCGGTGGCCCCAATGGGCGAAATTCGCATAGCG